AGGTGAAACGTCTTCAAGTAACTTAAAGAAGTCCAGACGCTTTTCTTTGCAAGCTCCTTTGACTACAATGACCTGGATGACTGAGAACCTTCACAGACATATGCAAAATATTGTTTACAGCCCTCTAAAAGGAACAGTTTAATAATTTCAGAAATATGAGACTTGCTGTCAGTTATTTGAGATGCTAACTGTGACTCCGTTGTCTGACAAGATATTTCACACATATAGCCAGTGACGGCCAACAGGAACCGAGCTTGCTGGTTACTGTTGTTTGTAGACATGAGTATAGTATCGCTCTCGAAAGTTAAATGAAAAGATGTTTTTCCACAGTGATCATCAAGAGAAAAGCTGGAATGTACCTGTAGCGACTGCTTTGAGAGAGGAGATAAAGAGCTGTTTTTTTCAGCCATAGAAGCTTTCATTTAAAAACAAAATACGGCAAGTCATGCTCCTGAAAACATCAGTTCATGCTGGGGTTTTGTTGTTTGTTTGTTTTTTTGCCATGAAAGTGTTCAGTTTTTTGTTGTTAACACTAAAACTGTGCCGCCACTTTCAATAGAACATTTTCTGAAGTTTTTCTTGTTTTGGGGTAAAAAGTGTGTGAAGCTGAAACAGATGCATCTTTGTTGAAATGACATACTACGCAGCTGTGATGTTAAAGTGCAGACTGTCAGATCTACCACAAGGAAGATGCAGTCATATCTAACTAATCCTTCTGCAGTCTACTACATTCACAGTTTATTACCAGCAGCCTGTTGAAAGTAAACTGTGTACATAGTTGGAAAACACAGACAAACTGACAGATTAAAAAGCTTGGTCTTTGTAGACACACCATCTACCTGGTAATTGGCATGCATTTCTCTCTACACTCCAAGACAAGTTTTAGGAACATGTCATTTGTCACACTCTATACCTCCCTCCTGATGACAATTCAATCCTGTGCCTGTGTTTAGTAACAACTGTAGTCACAGGCAAATGATACTGCATGCAAACATTTTCCACACCTTTTATTTTTCTATTTATATCCCCAAGTATGGCCTCTAATGTTTCATCAGCCAGTGGAACTACAAGGTTCACACATTTCAAGTTATTGATTAATCCTTGAGGAAAAATCTTCAAATCAGGAACAAGCTGGTCACAGTTTCCAGCAGCCCTAAATGTCCCCAAATATTTCCCTAAACAACATTTACAATCATATAGAGAGGAAATAAATGCAACGATTATTGGGGTTTTCTCTATGTTATTATAGGGTCTTTACCTTACACCTTGTGGCAGCTGTTGTGATTTAGCGCTATATAAATAAAATTGAATTGACTTGAATGTGTGGTCTAAATTTAAGGAAAACAAGCCCCCTGAAATCTTCCTTACATCAAGTATATGAGATCTTTTGCACCACTGAATATACAAATAAGTGCACCGTGAGAAATGCTAATGAGAAACAAAGCCTGTGGGTTCTCGTGAGATGATTGACATTTCCCGTATCTCATTACTGGCATAGCCAAGAAGAAACCAAAACCACGTCAACAAATTCTGAACGCATTGTTTGTTGACTTGATTACCAGCAGTTAAAAAGATATGTGTGTCACCTAAGATATCATTTTAATCGTGGGAATGAAAGTACTTGGGGTACATTTGAGCTGTTTTCTAACCACGTGTGAAAGCTGATAGCTAACTGTGAAAAAGCCTGAGCTGCAGCTGGACAGAAGAATGCGAGAATAAAAGAGGAAGCCAGAGGAGGAGCCAGCATATGGCCGAGAACAGGATTTCGAGGTAAGATAGTCAAAGGGAAACTCTCTTCCTGAGTTGAGCTGTTGACTGTATGGATGTTTTCTCTGCTCTCACCGCTGTGCTGAGCTATGAAGTAGACTTGCACTAAAATTCTTTTTTTTATTTTTAGATGCTTTAGACACGTATAAAGGTAAGTAAAAAAACGTTTTCTTCTTCTGCCACTTAAAATCCCCTCTCCTTGTTTTGCCTAACAGCTTTGCAAGCAGAGTGTGCAGCTTGGTGAATCAACTGTTGTGTATGTAAAATGAGTGACAAAGAAAAAGGTTTTAGAAGGATACTAACTTTCTGCGTGAGGCTCATTTGTGTATATTTGCTCAACTTTCCACGGCCAAAACACACACGAAACAAGAAAGAACTGCTCACTACAAAGAGATTTTTGTACAGTCAACTTCATGAGCAATAAAATCTCTGGTATGCCGTATCTTTCAGGTATCTGCATGTGGAGAAGACTAGAAAGAGATATCAAAGAGCACAGATACAGTCTTTCTACCCTCACATGCTGTCCTGAATTCTTTTATGCTGAAGTAAAAGAGGCTTGGACACAGGGGTATTATAACTTTTTCAGAAATGAGCCAACTCAGATTCCAATCATTGTTCATGTGCTCTGCTCAGTTCTCATTGACATTAATGCTGGCACCAAAAACTTTTAGCAGAAGTTATTTTCTGTCCTGTAGTATGATTGTGTTAATTTATATGTGGCACTTGTCTGCTGTCTTGAGCTCTTCTGGGTGTAACTCACTTATAGTTCCTCCTTTCCTATAGCCTGTGCGCTATAAGTACACGATCAGAGGGTCAACCTGACAGCCTTTGATGACCAAAAACGGTTACAAATGCAAGCTTGTAACCACAGCCTACTTCAGAACCTCAAGCGCATGAGTTTGCAGAACTTATGAAGTTTAAGATTCCTGTGAAGGTTGCACTCACTTGTTTGCGTTTTGGTTTGCCATAGAAAGTTCTAGTAGAGGGTTCACTTCACTCTTTGTGGAACAACATTTCCAAAGTGATTTATTTAAACAAAACAGCTCTGTGAAAAAACCCCCAAAACAAACCCATAAATAAATGAATAAAATACAAAAAATCAGCCTAAAATATTAAATAGATTATTTAAATTCAATAAAAATGTAGCATACTAAACATCAAAAGGAACAGTGATCTTTACCTTCTAACCCTACCGGAAATGCTGGCTACATTTTTAACAGCCACTGAAGCTGCATGTGTCATCCTTTTTTTTTTTTTTTCTTCACTGTTATATCTGCAGCTATCTCTCACATTTGAACTCTCTTCCTTGCCATTTTTGCCACCCTGCTGTTCTCAGAATTCATTTCCTCACGTGCAAATTTCATGCAGCTGTGAGTTCCAGTATGCTTCAAAACATAGGAGCAGCTGTATTGTTAATGTCTTCTGACGTCCACCACTTCAGTATCTAATATCAGCGTTGGATTACTGTTAGAAGCTTGGGAGGATCTTACTTAAACTGAGCAAAGTTTTTTTTTAAGAGAAAGGAGGACTGGGTGTATATGTTGAGCTCTTCTTATTTGGATGCTAAGAAAGTCCTTTCTTTTTCATGAACACTAAAAATAAAGATATACTGTATATATAATTAAAACATGGCAATATTCCAACACTTGTGTGTTATTTCCAAAAGTTACAATAGATTAGCGAGTGCCAGTAGATTATCTTGCTGTGTCTAAAAATCCACTGCTTCTACTGTCAGGTGAGATAAAATAGTCTACTGTATATGTAGCAGCCTAGCTTCCCCCTGTTTCCAGTCATTTCATGCTAAGTTTATGCTAATTGGCTCTTGGGGGGAAAGTTCCAAACCCATATGATACTGGTATCAATTTTGTCATCTATGTCTCATGCAAAACTTATACCAAGGGATACAAAACAACCATAGAGATACCGAAAATGACGATAAAGTTAGAATACACTAACTTAGCAAAGAAGCAAATAATGTGTATTTCATCTAGTAAATAAGCTGACATTAATACAGTGCACATTTAGCATTGCTGTTCAATAAATTTTCAGTACACAGTTCTTATTTGACAGGGTAACATAATAGAGCATGGCTGCTTAAAGACAGATATTTCCCCAATAAATGCAAAAGTCTTCATTTCTTTATGAAAATGAGAAATAGAAGCAAACTGAAACTTGCAAACATCCATGGAAATGCAGTATATAAGGAGAAAAAAAGTTGTGCAATTCTATTGAGCTTGAAAGTCGAAGTCAGTATTTTAATTGACCACCTTTATGCTTCAACACAGCTTGAATTCTCTTAAGCAAGCCTTCTCGTAATTACTTTAACCTTCTACGACCCGAACTCTTCCACAGCATGCATTTTTAATTTCTCTTTGATATTTGGGCATATTGGGGCCCGATGAATGTAAAAACAAAGAATTACCAGATTTATTTATTTTTTACCTTAATTTTATTTTTAAGAAAAATAAGAGCCACATATGAGGATATTTGTTTAAAAGCATTTTGGTCTAAATAACCCAAAATGTGATGTCCACATATGTGGACGCCAGGGAGGTTAAGTAGTCTGCTTTAATAATATTAAGGATTGCGCTCTTGACCAATCCAAGACTAATACTAATACTAATGGTATTCAAGCTATCAAGGTATACGTTGAATGCAATAGCAGTGTGTCTGAGATCATTATTCAGCTGAAAAACAAAACTGTTGCCAGTCAGATGCTTCCCAGATAGTATTGTATAGTGGATCAAGATCTGATGGTATTTTTCTGCATTTATAATTTCATAAATTGTGACAAGATCCCCAACACACTGGGTGAAATGTAGCCCCAAAATATGTCAGAGCCACCACCAAGTTTTATAGATGCCCGTAGATACTCACTCTTCCACCTCCACGCATATCGACGATATCTACAGAGTCAGTGTTGCCATTAATTTCCAGTTTCCAGTTCTTGTGTAATTTTATTATATCTCAGCCATTTTTTTTCCAGTTTCTAAGTGACAGCCACCACTGAGAGCATTTCTAATGAGGCTTCAGCAAACAGTAGATGGATCAACTGAAAGGCCAGATGCATCTCTCAGGTCTTGTGTCAGGTCTTTGCTGGAGTTTTTCCTATTTCGTAAGGACATGACTTTCAGATACCATTCATCTGCAATCGATAGTTTTGAAGGCCTGCCACTTCTTCTTTTGTCCTCTGCTTGTTCCGTTTCCTCAAATTTTTCACGACACACTGCAAACCATGCTAACGTATGCGAGAATATCTGACAGATATAAGTTTTTGGCTGATAAAAATCACCTTGTTGGTGGAAAAAAATTGATTTTTTTTTTTACATCATCCGTTTCGTTTCCTGTTCCTATGTGACCATGATGAGTAAGATACATTAACCCCCTTTTCAGGTAAATAAGAAGACTAAAGCCTTCAAAACCACTATTAAAGGAAACTTTGGAGGAAGTTGATGTCTTGCATCATAGGGACTGGAATCAAAATTAAGATTAGGGAAAATGAGTTTTCCCCAAAACTGGATTTCTCAATGCTGATTCTATCATATTGCACTGGTGCATAAAAATGTAACATGTTTTTATTTTTGTTCAAACCACAGAAAATAAGCTGAAACGTTCACATATCCTATACATAGGTTACACATTGCCAAAAAGCAATCAAAGAAAAGATTTATAACATAGCAAAGTTGAATATCTGAAAAATATGTTCAGTTATACACTCAGCACTTGGTTGTGGGCTCCTCTGCTGCAGAGCTTTTACTGGTCATGGTCAGCAAACCATTAGTAGTAGTTTTGGTACCGTGGGCACGTGCTGAGTCCTGTCAGAAAAGTAAAACCGGTTACTCCATACAGCTTTTCAGCAGCACAAAGTGCTCTCAAGTCTTCTGGTAGATGGCTGCATTACATTTGTATTTGGTAAAACACAGTGGACCAATCATCAGCAACACCAGCAAATGGATGGTTCCTCAGATTATCACAGACTGTGGAAACTTCACACTAAACTTCAAACACCTTGAATCTGTGCTTTTCCACTCTTCCTCCAGAATCTAAGTTATCCCAAAATGCAAAGTTTACTTTGACCTACGTGGAAGACTTTGGACTACTGCTCAACAGTCCAGTTCTTTCTCTCCTCAGCTCAGCTAAGACTTTTGATGTAGTCTTTGGTTCAGAAGTGCTTGTTATGAGGAATGCAACAACTCCGGCATCTTTGCTGAAGCTGACTGTGTGCAGTGTCTCTTGATGCGCTTACACAAGTCTCAGTGCATGTGAACTTCTCCCAAGTTCTTGAATCAAGTTTTCTTGACACTTTTCTCAAAACTGTAGTCATCCCTGTTGCTTATGCAAATTTGCCACACCTTTCTCTTCCAGATGACTTTCCATTATTATGTTTCAGTACAGCACTGTGCAAACAGCCAATCTTTTAGCAATAACAATCTGGGGCTTATCCTCCTTGTGCAGGGTGTCCATGATTGCCATTTGGACAACTTTCAACCCAGCGGACTTCTCCAACTGTGGTTGTATGTATTAAATTAGACCATTTGAATAGTAATACATTCAAATGACGAAAGTCTAAAGTACTAAACTACTTCAAGATACTGGGTTTCAGATTTTTATGAACTTTAAGCCACGATCATGAACATTTAAAGATAACAAGGTTTGAAATAGTTTCATTTATGTGTGAACTTTTTAAGATGCACTGGTGTAGTTTCTTCAAAGTCCTTTATTTCCTCTCTGCAGATGAGTGACCGAGACAGCAGCCTCTCTGCCTCTCAAACAGAGGGAGAATTCGAGGGAGAGATGGATGAAGAGCTTGAGGGAGACACGGAGATGGAAGAAGAGAAAAATGAGAATGGGAGAGGCAGTCCGGCCCCCAGTCTCTCCAACATCTCCTCCACTCTGCGCGCCGTTATACGTATCAAACAGAAGTACCAAGCGATGAAGAAACGACGTCAAGAGATGGCCCTGGGGGGCCAGTGTCCCCTCATGGGCGCCCCAGGACGAACCAGCCCCAAAATCTTCACCTTTGATGGAATCACCCCCACTGCCTTCTCCTCTCCATCATCCAGCATCCCACAGAAGAAGAAGAGGAGAAAGAAGAAACGGGTGTTGTTTCCCGAAGGAGGGAGACGAAGGGCTGCACCAAAGCAGGACCGCAGCCGAGCCAAATATTGCCTGTATCTGCTCTTTGCCATCGTCTTTCTCCAGGTAAATGAATAACAACACATTTTCCAACTAAGCTGCTATCAAGTGGTGGAATGCTTCTCTATTGTGCTCCTCTGACTTTTTTCTGGTGCCATTAAGAATTTGATTTACAAAAATATTGAACGAATGAATGAATAGCTTCCATTATTATGACTCATCTCTTGCTAGTCTGCTTCTTTTGTCGCCAGCTACAGTATAAATAGGGAGGGCGGGAAATTTGTGCTATCTTCAGCTCATGTGTATGATTAAATATAGACTTTCTACTTGCTCAGTCATGTCCTAATTCATTCAGACGAGAAATACAACATGCCATGAATCAGTCTAAGGTGTGTTCATCTTTGAGGAACCTTGAGGCACTGTTCAGCAGAGATTGGTTAATCCAGCCGTCACCGAGCTGCTTTATTGTCACGTGTATCTTGCAGCTTTGTTTATGGTTTATTTTGCCATTTCAAATGTAAATATTTAAAACTGGTCCAAGTGTATTTCCTGTTCTAGTTTGCCAAAGTGAGAAGCTGGGCGGAAATCACTCTCAGCTGTTTGCCATATAACTCCAAGGAGATAATCTGTATATCAGTATATTTATATATTTCTAAAGATATATATATACAGTCATGCCAAAAAGAACATTTTCACAGGACGCCATATAGTCCTGTGAATGTAGTATTTATACAGTAGTATGCTTGCTGAAATTTGGATACTCTATAAAAAACACATATTTGGTGGAGTGAAATTGAGGTTTAAAAACTGTAAGAAATATGGTCCCTTCTTGTGTACCAGCTACACAAACATTGCTCTGCAAGACTACTATATGCTGCTTCGAGGACATAGCCACACACCTCACTATCTAATCACCCTGCATATTTAATACTTTACTTAGTGCAGAAATATTATTATTAACAGTTTAATTTCAAAATTAAATAATTCTGTATACTATTAATTAAATTGGATTTATGATGTTAGCATCTGCTACGCAGAACTTTTCTGCTTGAACACTCAAAGTAGAACAACTGTCATTCACACATGCATTCCTATCTAAAGATTCACACTGATGAATACATCAGGAGCAACTTTGGATTCAGTATCCTTGGGCAAGATAATCAATCTTGAACAACTATAGTCTTCTGTTAAGCAGATGATGTGCTTTGCCTCCTGAGCAACAGGCACCCCTACTTTCACTTCATAACACTTCATAACGCATGCGTCTGTAAACGTGTCAGTTATTTCTTCCCCAACAAAGCAGTGAGAATGTGTTCTATCTTTGGCAAAATTTGAATTGCTAATATATGAATTGATCTAGCACAATAAACTGTGTAACACACCAGGAAATTGAGGTTTTTCTTTTGTTTTCAATAAGAAGATGTTTTTTTTAAAAAAAACTGTATATTCTGACATATCTGGAAGTTTAATGATTGAAATTCAACAAGTTTATTAGCATTATATTCTACATTTATTTAAGTACAGAATTGTTCTTCTTTTTAAAACCTTCTGAAGTTTCACTTTATATGTAATACTGTCTATATAAAGGTTCAAGGACTGCAGATGAGTCTAAAATAATTCTTTGTTTTCAGTGTTCTTGGTCCAAGGAGTGCATCCCTTTTTAATGAATCCTGGAAATGCCCCTGCACTCGGCTATATTCTTAATAGCTGTGGTTTGTTTCTTTCAGGTCTACAACGCCATAGAGAACCTGGATGACCACGTTCTTAGATATGACCTGGAGGGATTAGAGAAGACACTGAGGAGGGAAGTGTTTGGGCAGCAGGGAGCTGTGGAGAGCCTGCTGTCCCACCTGAAAGACTACCTGTCTACCTACGTCCACAACAAGCCTCTGGTGGTATCCCTGCACGGCCCGACCGGGGTAGGTAAGAGCCACCTGGGACGCCTACTGGCCGGACATTTCCGCTCCGTGGTGGGTGACACGCTTGTGCTGCAGTACTATGTGCTCCACCACTGCCCCCAGGAGGCGAACGCCCTGCAGTGTGCCAGTGACCTCTCAGCTCTGATCTCGGAGATGGTGGAACGAGCTGAGGAGGAGGAGAAAATTCCGCTCTTCATCTTCGACGAAGCAGAGCACATGCACCACGAGATCCTAGACACGCTGTTGCAGCTCGTGTCCTCCAACCAGTCCAATGAATACCTGAATGCTATTTACCTGTTTCTAAGCAACCTGGGTCATGCACACATCACCAAACATATGCTGCACAACTCTTCGAGTATTTCCATGGCGATGACAGCATCAGGTCGTCATAGCAATCTGGTAAAAGAGCTGACTCCCATTTTACGTAGCATGCTGGAAGAGCTTCACCCGCTTTGGACAGAGGCTGATATCTTACCTCTCAGTCTTTTGGAGAAAGGTCACGTAATGGAGTGCTTCCTGGACGAAATTACTCGAGAGGGATTCTACCCGGATCATGCTAACATAGAGCGGCTTGCGGGGGAGATTGAATACTACCCTGCAGTAGGGGGGCACGAATATTCCCAGACAGGCTGCAAGCAAGTGGTGGCTAAAGTCAACCTGCTGTGACATGCTCTTGTTTGCATTCTTTTAAACATGAAGAAAAGGGAGTGAATTTACAATTATGAAACTTGAATAACACAATTCAAAGCCAACGCTTTTAAGAGTGGTTTTGTAAGAATGTAATAAAAAAAAAATTCACACACAAAAAGGTGGGGATATTAAACTTTGTTGGGGAAAACAAGGAATAAATTTGGTGAACACTAAAAATGCGGCAGGCAGTCCCTGAAGGGTGGGTTCACCCAGTGTACATTAATAAAAGATTATTTAAGTTCCCTGTTGTTGTATCTCCCAAATACCTCTGAATAGCTGCATAGAAAAAGGAGAACACCTAAACTGATTTTTTTTAAACCTAGACATCAGTACAGTGCTGGTTCACAGAGGATATTTCAGTAACTCCAGTTCACCTAGCACTACCAGTAAGTAACATGTAACTGTCTAATTAAACCAATCCAAACACTTAATGAACTGGCACAAAGGTATGTTCAGACATTCAGACACTGCTAAGAGTTTCTGGTTTGACCACCTTGACATTTGGAGCAGACACAAAAGAATCTGGGAGGATAAATCCCACTGACTGTTCTTCTGTATACATAAATCAGGCCTGGGCTGTGGTCGAAACCCCCAGTTATTGGACTGTGCTTTAAATCAGGCTCTAGGTGCTGTCCCTTGCCTACAGATTGAGTATCAGTCAGTGTCTGTTACACTCATGGTGAATTCTTTTAATTGATTTTTATATGTGGGGCATTATAAAAGCAGCTCTATCTATCTAGTCATGAATGCTAATAAAGAAAAACAAGTGAAGGATATACATCTTACTAATGGTCTTTTGTGGTATTGAGAAATCTCTTGGATAAGGATAATAACATGCACTGGAGCTGTGTAAAATTAATATTCACTCATTTATGAAGGAGGAAGTTCATAATGCAAACGTTACTAATACCTATTACAGGATGTTCACAGGATGTGTGACAGATAATGCAAGACAGTGCAAGAGCACATGGTAGCAAGGTGTCTTTGAAGGCAATCAATATATTTGAAGTCTGGTCTCTGGTAGGGTCATCCAAACAAAGACAGCACAGATGGGCATCACCATATATGTTAAATTGGACCCATTATATTTTTCCTTATTTTCTTTTATATATTAATATTTTATTTATTTTCATTATTTTTATTTTACTTATACTATATATAAATTCTCTATATATAATACACACCCACAGTTACATTGGAGGATGATCATACTAAATGTATTTGCATAAAATGACATCAATGTAGTGCTCTAAATGCTCTTTCTGTTTTTTTCCTGCTCTTCTTACTTCTGATGTTAATTAGAATTGGTATGGGTTCCTTTTTAAGGAAGGAAGACAACTTTGAATGGGAAGGAGCTAAAAACCTCTTGTTCCAGACAGTGGAAGAATTGAGGGGCTCCACCAAAGCCCAGCACAAGTAAACTGTGAATCATGTAAAGGTACTTTATTAAAGTACAAGAACTTGCTAGTACCTGGGTGGAAATGACCATATTGTTTAAGGTATCGTTCAGTCCAATTGATATCAACTTTATGTGCAGAATTCACCACTTTAAACACCAACACTATTCTTCTTGATGCAAGTGCAACTTTAAAAGAATGTTTTTATACTTTAAGAAATCTGTTTTCTTCTCAACAGACATGGCACAAAGGATAGCACATAACATTTGTTATGAAGCTAGTGGCACAAACTAGCTAGCTCAGTTTAGCAATAAGGCCTGGCCTGACAACTGTTACAAGCTTCTCTATTTGGGTATGTAATGGCAAAGAAAATGACTGCTACATTTCAGTTAGATCCAATCTTCACTTGTTATTTAGATCTTTAAAATCCCAAGATAGTAAAAGTCAACATGCTCAGCTACAGCTACAGAAGCCTGGGCACCACTGCACTGTAAGAGCAATGTAATACTAAATACTGAAGGCATTAATTGAGACAAATAATTAAATTCATTAATAGGTGCTGTTTTCCCATTTTTTTATTATTAGAGTTCTCTTGAGGTACTGTGTCTATGTGACAAAGAAAAAGAAAGTCTCATAATAATAATAATAATAATGACAACATAAGATGAAAAAGAAACACATTCTGATGCAGGATTTCCAACCAAAGTAACAGGACAGATGTGGGGACACAACACTCCTCAAGCGTTTCAACTGGAATTACTTGGAGGACAAGCACCTGTACTTTAGTATACAGAGCTTAAGAGTGGAGATAGTTTTGAAGACGCGATCACTGACAGCAACGAGTGAGGTCCCCGAGCAACAAGAGGAAACAGCTGGCAGTCAAGTTAAGATGCCTGGTGCCTCTGAGATACAGAAGCAAAATAGCCTCACTTTCATTGTGACCGCTGAGCTGAGACAGATAGATGAAAACAACACTGCAGAAATGTAAAAAAAACAAACAAAAAAAAAAAAAACCCAAAGAGCTACCAGAAGATTCCATTATGTTGATTTCACCTACCAAAAACAGAAGTCACAAAGGGCTAAAAGAGCATTTTGAGACATGTGCAAGAATAGATCTAACATCTTTCATGTCGTCATTCCAGAAATCGGTCTTCCACCACTACTTCAATATTTAATGATATGTGTTGTATGAAAACAATGACATGGATTAAATAGTCCTTGGATTGCAGCAAAAAAAGCCAAAACCGTTCAAATGGATACAAAAATAAAGAGACGAGAGACACTCTACACCTTTTTTAACCAAGCAAATAAGCTTTAAGCTCTGCATCCAACCCTTCATTTGACATGCTTTTAGGAATGCAGTAATAACTCAGTACTGAAGCTTTAAATGAGCTACACCAACAACTACTTCATTCAAGACCTACAGGGAAATAAATAGTTATTTCAAACGCCATAAAAACAATTCTCCACAACTATGCACCGCCAGTTTCAGGATCAGCCTCACAACTTTTTAAGCATAATGCTAAGACTTGACTATTACTGTCAGAAATGCTCATCAGAAGTATGAACAAGGGAGGGGTGTGTGAGGGAGAGTCCAGAGACAAGAGAAGGAGACAAGTTATCGTGATAGGAGGGTGCCGAAAACTAAGTGCTGAAGTGGGCTTCTTCTTCTTTATTGGTAGGTTTTGTGTTTACGCCTCAACCTCGAAGCCCATGCCGACTTTGTGTCCGCCGGCGTTGAAGTTCTTGCCATCAATGAGAGCTGAGAGGGTGACCTTAACACCTGCACAGACACAGTCATAACGTTGTAGATACACTTTCAATTTTAGACCTGTTCAAAAAAGTTGACATGGGGGCACGAGTATCAGTGCGTCTATCCTATCCTAACTATCCTGTATAAGTGTGTGGTGTAAATTTGAAAGCACATGGTTTGCCCCTTCTTGCCTGATCAAGATATTAACTCCTGAATTTCTTAGTCAAGGTTGCCCTCACAAGCTTCAAATTTTTGATCGACTGAAACGGGTTAAAATAAAAACATTTTGTACAACCAAAAAAGTTGTTTTGCTGTGTAACATGTAAATAAAACAAAGTGCAATGACTTTCAAACATCATAAACTCATATTTTATTCACACTAGAACATTAAAAAAAACACAAACATTTCAAATGTTTAAATGTTTACATTTTACTATTTCATGAAAACTATTAGCTTTTAATTTGGTGGCAGCCATACATTTCAAAATAGCTGGGACAAGAGCAACAGGTCAATAACATGAGTATGGGGGTATGGGTATAAAGAGAGCATTTCAGAGAGCTAGAGTTTCTAAGAAGTAAAGATAGGGAGATATTTGAGTCTGCGGGGAAAAAAAGTTGATATTCAGAAAATTTTTAGAATAATGTACTTTAATTTTACGTTAAGATGTAATATATAATTGTGAAGACTTTGAATATCTCAGGATCTAAAATGCACCATTAATAGGGAAAGTTATATGGTTTTAGTAAACAGACAAGATCTTTTACAGGGAAGAGCGTTCATGGTTGAGACAGTGCTAAACTCTATACTGTATATGTTACAGGAACATGGCTTCATATTTGAAGATTCCAGCTGCTTAACTGGCCTGTCTGCAGTCTAGGCCTTAAACCATAGAAGCCATACCAAATTACTATTAGAGCTGGCCTACTGGTATTATACAGCTAATATATATATTGTTTAGTATTAAGCTTTGCTTGTTCCATATTCAGTTTTTCAGCAAAACTTGTTTGAGTCCATAAGAAAAGATTCATTCTTATATCAAGAGGAAGATTTTTTTTCAATAAATATTAATGTTAGCCCGCGACTTTGTTCCAGTTTTGAATTTTGGCCCACTGTGTATTTGAGTTTGACACCCCTGCCTTAAACCAACTAAAAATATTTGGTGCATCACAAACTGTTGTTTACTTAGAATCATATATGCAACAAGAATATGAAAACATTCCCCTCGCAAATGTCCAGCAACTGGTTTCCTCATTATCCAGATATTAACGCACTACTGTGTTACTGCCATCAAATTCATTATGACCTTTTTTTTTTTCTTAGAATTTTTATTTAAACTTAGTTTAAACAAGTGATTTTTTTTTACTTTCTATTCTGAATAAAAATTCAGTTTGTGAGATTTGCAAGTCATGGATTTACATATTATATACCATTGTATTTTATGGTCTTTACCTTACAATATAAAAGCGCCTTGAGGCAACTGTTGTTGTAAATGGTGCGACATAAATAAAATTGAATTTAATTGAAAAATATCAATTTTTTTGGAAATGGGGTTGTATTTTTAAACAACCAAGATCTTCCTGTGTAGGTTGGGAAAGTATTTTGCTGGGTGCCAATGGCACAGTTGAGGAAGGTAACCCACCTGGTCGAAGGCTCTGGGTGTAGCCTATTCCGATCAGACTGGCATTGTTCACTTTGGCCTGTAGGGGAAACATGACAGGGCGTCAGACACAACAGCACAACGGTTTGTGAGAATATGCTTCAGCAACAGTGCATGTGAATGTGAAGAGTCAGTCCTCACAGACAGAGAGGCATCTTTGTCCAGCTTGTATTTGGCAGCAATGCCGAAACGAGTGTTGTTGCTGCCAGCTGTCCAGGCCAGAGTAACCGCTGTCTCCAGCTCGTCATTTACCTTTTGGTAGATGGAGCCGCCAAACTCAGTCCCGTCATTACTGAGAGAGAACAGACATTTATTTACTTAAGCAAACAGAAGTCTATCCTGCAGACCAGTCTCCACATTATAAATTCATCCCTCTTTGTATTCAACTTATGACAACCCATAATGAAATTAGTTACTGATGCCCAAAAATGTGTTTTAGGTCACTGGGACAATTTGCCACTAAATTCAAATCAGTTCCAAGTGAACATTTCCATGAGAAAAGTCTGGTTCGAGATGGGAGGAGACACAAATCCTGTGGGGTAGTTGCTTTTGGGGTAGAAGGGTAGAGGGGTAGAAACAAATCAAGCCCAATATGCTTCCACCCAGCAGGTTTTTGTGCAGAGCTTTGTCTACAGCAACAGAAGTTAGATATGTGATGCCCATAATTTGAAAAGCAACAAAGCATCTTTACAAACTGTTTATGTACGTATGTAAAATCACTCACACATTGGTGTGAAGCTGGAAGTCCCCGGCCCTGTATCCGAGTGCAAAGTTGTTCTGAGCCAGTTTGGATTTGGCCATATCAAAGGCCATCTGATAGCCTGCCAGCCAGCCTTCATAGCCCAACACAGCAGAAGCGTGGATAATGGGACCCTCAAAGTCAACATCGCAGCCAATATTCATATAGTCACGCTTGTAGCCAGTCTTGAGCTTGCCACTCTTCTTGCTGAAAAGTTGGTTAATCACAGTGATGAGCCATTAAAATACCAAAACCAATGACAACAATAAATTCCAATTTATCTGGAAACAATATGATGTACTGAATTCTCAGATCACACAGCTCCACTGCTGTTAAAACACTATTTAAACCACATGAATGAGCCACACTTTTGCATAAGCTGACATGTTCTGTTATTACTGTAAACACAATTCTAATTAGATTCTGACACAGACTGAGCAGGAAAGTCAAAAATATATTAGTAGAGAGGGAATGCTTTGATAAGGACATGCCAAGAGAAACAGAGTGGCCAATAAGTTAAAGGAAATATACGACACTGAGAAATCAGCTTATTCTTTGAGACTCTGTAGCGGTTCATTACTATACATCAACGTGGATACAATAAGTAAGAATAACAACATTAATTTTTAGAGGCATTGAAGTACGCAGAAGAACTTTCAAATTTGAATATATTCGAGGTGTAGTTGTTAGATGTTACTAATAATTATAGGAACCTCTATGTGTGTCCATCTTTTGTCAGCACACAATAACATGTAAAGAGTGAGTGAGGTCAGCTGGATAAAAACTTCTCTTATCTGTTGTTCAATTGTTCTATCAGATTTGGAAAATATTAGTAAACTAAGTGTACAGCTTTTACTATATCGGTAGTTAAAGGTTTAAAAAGGAGGACTGAATTTGAGGCTAAAAGAAGTTTAAAGCCTGCAGCTAATTATTAACAAGGCAAGAGTGGAAAAAAGAGTCAGCACTCTGTTTATCCAGGATTGACCCAAAGTTAATACTGATTACATAACACAGTATAAGTCACACAAACTAATAAATTGAGTCTCACCCTGTGTTTGGTACAAAAGATGTATCCAAGCCAACTTTCAGTCCTTGAGCCAGCTATAGGTAAAGTAAAACTTGGAGTCAATAGTTTTTTTTAGGAACATTTAAACAATTAAATCAGTTTCTTAACCACAAACACACACCTGGTCCTCCACAGTGACTTCAGTACCCAGGGTGTTATCTGTGTTCCACTTCTGGTTGACGCTCAGGCCTAGCTCCTTCATCTTGTACTTGGTCTCAAGGCTCCCTGAGGCCTTCCCTGTATCTGTGTTACTGGAGCCAGATGTGTTGAACTCCTGGTGAAGGACCAATCAGCACAAAGCATGAGTGTGGAATGCAAAGTATTGTTGCGCAGATTGTTGAATTGTTGGATATCAAAATGGAAAAAGGAACTGAGACCAAATATAATTAGGCATGTCAAAAATACAGGGATAATCATCAGCATGTACTCTACATATTAAACAATACAGATACACTGACATAATAAGACAGTCTCACAGATGAATGCATGCAAGACACTAATGAGGCAGAAGACAAACAGAAAGTGAACACAAAAACAATGATAAACATGATGATTACAACAAAGTGATTATCTAAACTGCCACTGATAATAAGCACTAGAACACTGTATTTTAAACAAGAGTGCATGGTTAAAAACAAAGGAAAAAAGAGAACCTTGAAAAATATATGTAAGAATGCAATGTAATTTTCAGACAGTGGCTGTTGCTAGGGGTGGGTTTTAATAATCGATTCATCGATTAAAATCGATTCTGGCTTGGATAACGTGAAATCAATTCATTAAAATCCTGAATCGATTTTTTAATATAAATTTATTTTGCCCGAAATGACAGAATCTCAGGGGAAATCTCACAAAATTTCAACAACCACCAAACAGCTAAGACAGTAAATGAGAGCAGGAACACGGATTCTGCACAAAGACGTAAACACACAGCGGGACCCGCAGATCAGAATCAGTGAGATGTGACTTTCTCACCGACGGCACCGAGGTCGGGGCTGAAAACTGACAGCTCGCTGATTCTGATGTTTCGGCGGGTCCGCGCTTTGTGTTTACGCCATTTTTGCGCCGATTCTAAAGCTGTTATTTTATCTCTCTCCAAACAATATTGACCGAACCAGCAGCAAAAGAAGATCCAAACTACGCTTCACATAAACATCGTCATGTATTCCCTCTGACTTTTTCTGTTTTGCTTCCACCACAATAAAATCACACTTCATGCACAGCTCTCTCTCTCCCTCTCTCTCTCTCTGTACTGTTTTCTGCATTATTCGCTTGCTTGTTACGCACAAGTCTACCGTTGTTTACAGCGCTGTCGGCCGCTGTTTTTTTCCCGTTTACATACTTCCGAAAAGAAAACCTAATTTCTGCTGTTCAATACTGAACAAATTTAAACTTTTTAAAATTATGCAAAATGCAAAACGCTTAGCCATGTCTCTAATAAAACCGCTGTAACGTCAGAGGAACGTTCATGTGTTGATTAATGGTTTTCTTTCGTTTTTGATATACTGCAGAATATTTTTTATAAAATCCAGGCCAGGAAAACCTTCATGTTTTTCTGTGTTTTATCTTCAGCTACTTTGACACAAAGGCCTCTGCTGTGACGCTCACACCTTTGATAAAGTCTTGCGTGTGTCAGCTTCCTTTTTATAGATACAAAAATATGTAAATTTACTGATCTGAATTATAATATTTCTGACTGTCAAAATTTCCCATATTCAAATCTAATCGAATTGAATCAAATTGAATTTAATCGAATCGTGGATCGAATCGATTCGGGACCTTGTGAATCAGAATCGAATCGATCCTAGAAATCAGTGACGATACCCAGCCCTAGCTGTTGCCCTCACTTGCATTTATTAAAATAAGATTAGACTGCTTTTATGCATAGTGAAATGAGTAAGAACAGTGCCAAGTCATTAGAAAAACACAAATCCACCTCCCAATGTTAATAAGACATTTTTCTGTACTGGCATATCAACATCAGTCCTACCGGCAGAAATGTATTCTAGTTCCGATCACACCCATTCAAGTCAACAATGAAGATTCCACCAAATTCAACACAGCATGGTTCAGACATGTCCCAGAATTGGCTTTTAGCCTTGTGTCACTAAAATCACAATATCGTCAAAAATGTTACCGGATGCCAAGATGATTTTAGATTCCATTTAAGATCCCTCTAAATGTTACCGGATATGTATAGAATAGAGATATATATACAGCTACCACACATGAATGCTGTAGCAAATGTAAACAATATTAAATGGACTGGCTCTTATACAACATGCCTCTTTAACCTATATTCATACAGGCACTTTTTTCTATACCTAAGTGCTTTCTGTGTAACATTGATCCAATTCTTTCATGTGATGGATGCATCACAAACCAACTTGGGATTCAGTACTTTGCCCAATGATACTTTGGCAGACTGGAGAAGGCAGAGATTGAACCACCAATAAAAAAAAAGTACTTTATAACAGTATGTAAGGTCAGCTAATTAATCCATATCTTGAGCCTGAATTTAGCTGGCACTTTTCAATGTATTTTATAAGCTAACCCTCTGAGCTAACAATCACAGATTTATACAGGACAACCAAATTACAGCTAGCTAGCTAACGGTATCTAGCTTGCCAACATCATTGCCAGTAAAATAATATCTGAAAGGTAATACGAGTTAGATAGTGTTCCAAAGTACTTAAGGTAGCATTGTACAGAAATCTGTAATCTGTTAAAAAGTAATGCAACATGTGGCATTGTTTTTGTTTTGTTTTTTATTTCAAATTTTATTTTCAAAGCAAATTGTATTTGATTTAAATTACAATCAGGGCTTTTCTCTAGATAAATTATTTATTACAAAGTACATTTAAAGTGGTGCCCTGCTGATGATTTTTGTATCGACAAGTCTTTCAGTGTGTGCTAACGATAACTAATTTCATCTTACATGTCAAAGCAGAAAAAAAACCTGAGGTAATGATCAGATAAGCCATCACCACACACTATGTATGCATCGCAAAACAACATATGTATATGAATCAACAACATATCTCCGTGTGAAAATCTGTCAACGAACTGAGACAACGGCAGCACAGTTTCTGTGATTGTACTTCTGTGAGTCCAAAGAGATGGTCCTTAAGCAAATCTCAATTCAGACATAAATATAAGAAAAGTCAATGCAGCTGTATTAGAGACTGACTAATACATGCATCATGTTGTGACATAAAGGCCTTCATAGCACATGATGTCCAATAGGGCTGTGCGATATGACCAAAATCTCATATCCCGATATAAGAATTCTATCGTCTGATAACGATATAAATCACAAAAATGTAACATTTTCTGTAAATTCTGTGACTCTCAGGCAGCTCGACTTGCGGGAAGTGTTTTCAGCTGGGCGTCGTGTACCTGGAGTCGAGTGTTTTAACCGATGCATGAAACGATACATTTTTAGACATAAGTTGTAACAGCCGCCGTTTTCTTTGTGAGTATTTACTACACGGCGTGCTGCGGGGAAAAGCCTGTTCTAACGTTTGAGTCTAAGGTTTATTTTTTAGCACCTGGCGTCTTTTTTTTAACTTCTCATCCGTAAATAATCTGCTCTTTCACGTGATTCAGTTTATTTTGAAAAGTCTCAAAAGGATCTTGAGCTTTATTGTAAAAGGTTTATGTGGAACATAAACAAGCGGACACGCGATGCTGTTGCCATCGTTGTTGCTAACCACAACGCATAAAAACAGGCGCTTGTCCGTCCGTAGTGTGGTTATATTAAATATAAGCGAAAGAAAGAACTTTAAGAAATTAATATAGCCACTACAGTGACCATCAAAACGATGAAAAAATATTGCCATAAACAGTTTATTTTGCGACACCACGAAACAAACGATAGCGTAAAATGAAACGATAGACGTTTTTATATCGTCATCCGATATATATCGTTATATCGAACAGCCCTAATGTCCAAGTTAAAATGTTCTAAAAGCTTAGTCACCATTACTGAAGCTACCAAACAAACACAGACGCTGCTTCCATCTTTAACACACTCAGGTGACATTTTATGGCATTTAAGAAAGATTGTGTGACTAAGGGCCTCATCAATTACCTATTAACTGACCAGGAACAGCCCTAGTCATTTCCCTGGGTAACCTGGGTAACTGCAAACTGATCAGTGTCAAGTCATTCGATTCATCCTATAATACAGAACACGACAATCAAAGTTACTGAGCTATTTTGCTCTAGAGTAAAGGGGTCTGTTGACAGAATAATGAAACAATGCCATTCAGATTTTTTTTTTAAATAGCTAGCTAGATAAAAGTGTAGTGCAGCCCTGCCACCCAATGCATCTTTTTGCTTTCTTCCCGTTTTTAAATTCCTCCAAGTCTCTTCTTGTATGTTTTCTCTCATACATATCTTATTACAATGATGGCTGTTTGGGGGTGGCTGTGACTCAGGAGGTAAAGGAAGATCGGTGCCTTGATTCCCGCCCAATTTATTCTCAAAGTATCCTTGGGAAATATACTTAACACCGAGTTGCCTCTGATGCATCCGCTGAAGTGGGAGTGTATGCGCAAATGTTAGACAAAGGGCTTGGATACAGAAAAAAGTGTGAATGACGCTTGAGTAAAAAGACATTTACCACTGAACATGTTCAAAGTTTCAAATAATGAGGACTGGTTGTTTACCAGTCCTCATTAGTCAGCACCCTGACTGCTCTAAACACTCGTTTTCAGAAGGTTTTTTTTAACTCTTGGCTAAGCATGATGTCCCTCACATGGTATTCTCAGGCACACAGCACTAGTGATGAGCACCGAAGCCCCACCCACCCACTGTTCAAACCTTTTCTGTTCAAAATGTAACCAATCAGTGGCTAAAAAAGGAGAGAAGCTAAAATGTCTCATTTCCACCAGTGAAATAAAGACCAAGTAAAACATAAATACAGGACTATTTTGAGCAGTAAAGGTAGCACAAAAAATTTAAATATTGAGCCTGAAATTAATATAATAGCTTAATAATATTCTTCTCCATTTTCTGGCATTTTATCAACCATACAACATACTGTTTGGTCAGGTATAATATTGCAAAAATAATGTAAAGGAGTACAACCCAAAGTAAAGACAATCTCCATAAAGAAATGGAAATAGTATAAATGAGTGTGAAGAGAGAGAAAATCATTTTTTCATGCTTTATGAATATTATAAAGACAAAAAACAATTTAACCACAATAACAACTGAAAAAATGACTTGTAATTGAACAAAGGTTTAGGTAAGTTAACAGAACAGAAATCCACGGAAACTTGTTCTGAGTTACACAGACAGACAGAGCAGTCAGCTCTGACACCGATCTTACCATCTACATTAGAGAGCGAGCAGTCCAGGGCAGCAGCGTGGAGACAGAGCAGGGGTTAGGAAAGGTGACCAGAGAGACAGACAAGCCACAAATGCACACCTGCAGGTCTGTCATGTTTCTCAAGAACAGAGAGCACATTAAGCCAAGCAGGTCGACATCAGCGCCATTCGTCCACCTGAGATGTTTTTACACATGAACTCAACAGACGTGTTCTCACTAATGGAAATAACTCTGTTTGGTTAAGGTGAGGGTCACCTGAAGGAAGCAGCACAGACAGTATATGACATTCAGTCACTTGTTATGAATTCTCTAAACAACCACCTATCAAATTGCCACACAGAGATTTAATGACCAGTCTGTCTGGACTTCTGCCTTCGTGCAGGCAGCTCTGCTGGGTAATGTCTAAAGAGTTCAGAGGTATAGTTCATGTGTGAAAACAGCTTTAAATCCCTTTCAGCTCCGAGTCACAGCAGGAGTCCAGTTACTGTAATTAAATAAGGCATTGAGCATAAGAGGGTACCTGTGCAGCAGGATTTGGAGGTTAGAGATTGGCATGAAAAGGCAAAGGAAAAGTGAAGAATAAAGAAAGAACATGGAAAGAAAAAAGTGTTCTCACCACTCCGCTTTGTGATTTGGTCTTGAGGTCCAGCTTCACAACACCAAAGCCTGATTGATTACAAAATATGAGTTAATAGTTATTATGTGCAAGACAAATCAGAGACAGGAAGGTTTAAAAAGGCATAATTTAACATTTTTAGATAGATTTCCTCCACAAAGGTGGTTTATTAATTGTAAAGACTAAGCCACGTTGTGGTCAGACTAGCTGTAACATCATTTTAAAATGTTAAACGAGCAACAGACGAGCTTGTAAACCTTCCTTTGTGGTTTCCTACACAGACTTTACTTGGACAGGCTGTCCAGGTATGCTGGCGGGCACCCAATTTATTTACTAAAAGACAAGTTGATTTCTTTTGTTTTTTAAAATTCAATCACTGCTTACCAGTTACATCTGCTCATTCTCAAGTGTTTCACCACATTCGAGGTGCTGCTCTGACAGTTCTTTAGAGACTCTTGTCTGTTGTTAGATTTATACGATTTATATACTCCATGAATTCATACATAAATTATATATTTTTTGTACATACTGGTATCTCCTTCAAAAAACAAACATGTACCTTATATGTACAAAACTGTAATTTCAACTTTCAAAAAATGAGTATCTAATGTCTGAAATTATATCCAGACTTTTAGTTTTGTTCACATCAGTGTATTTATTAAATGTGTAGTGTGGATAAGAAGCACACAGAGTAAGTTGTACTTTAGGAATTCCCCACAGTTAATAATTTACTCCTAAGCTTAAAACAGTGCTCACCATATCCCTTGCTGAATATATCTTTGGCAGCCTTGCCCAGGTCTGAGTATGCTGGAGGGACAGCCATTGTGCTGGAGAAAATAAAGGCAGATGTTTCTTTTGTCAAATTTGAAACTTCACAATATCTTTATTCTACACAAGTGTTTAAAGGCTTAGCAGTAAAAACTCATCTTTAGAAACAGGGTATGACCATCCATGTTGTTCATCAATTGGTTATACTGCTCAGTTAAGTGCTCATACTTTATGAGCACTTAACAAAAGTTAAAGTCTCAGTGGTTTTTGTATATAGTCACAGGTTACTTCACTAGATATACATATTCAGCTGCTTTTTAACAAAAATATCTAATCAGCCAATAACAAGGCTACTGCATTAAGGCATGGGTATAAACGTGGTCATGACCTGCTAAAGTTTAAACTGAGAACAGAGAATGTTTGCAGAGCATGTCCGAAACAGAGAAACTATCCAGTGAGCAGCAGTTCTCCATGAAAATGCCTTGATGCAAGAAGTCAGAGCACAATGGTCAGACTGCTTAAAGCTGACAGGAATGCAACAGTAACTCAAATAACCACTCATCACAACTAAGGTATGCATGTTGAACCATGAAGCACATGAGTTGCAGCAGCAGAAGACTGCCTGTCAGCCAAGGACTGGAAACAGGTTCCATCAAGATCACAAGCTATTCTCAAACTGGGTTCTTGAACATGATAATGATTTTCATTGTACTTCATTCTTCACTGTCTCTACAGTCACCAGAACCTTTTTGAAAGTTGCTGACGTTTGAGGTTTTTTGCTGAAGTCCCCATTTTGTTAGGATGGACTCCCGTGTACCTACTGAATGCAATAACTGCCTGTACCTGATTAAACAGTCGGGTTACCTATTGACATCCAGCAGAAGCGAACAAGCTGTTCTTTGATAGACTCCTTTTAAGCAAACAACAGTATTCAGGCAGAAACTGGTGTACTTTGGTTAAGCAAGAAGAGCCACCAAGCAATGCACTGAGTCAGGAAGGTCCAAAAAACCTCAAGCAGAAAACTGTTACAATGCCTAATCCATTAGGTTCAACTCTATGCTGTTCTGTGTTTAATACACCACCAGTCAGCGGTTATGACCTGGAGAGCTACAGTGGTTTCACATGGGATTCACAAGCTGCACTAACACCTGGGTTAACTGCTCTGTTCTGTATCTCTTTTTTCTCGTGATCTCAAGAGCTTTGACAGACAATATAAGAATGAACCATAACTTGTACATGAACATCTACAGCGCAATACAGGACCAAATAACAAAGCTAAGCTGTGTTTTACACAGTGTCAACCTAATAGAAGCTACGCCAATGTTAAAACCACAACTAACATGTCCACTTGGATTCAAACCAGTTTCCAGGAAAAATAAGAATTTAAACAGTTGCCACAGTGAACATGAATCAAGTTCTGCTGCATTTTGGTTGTTGTGAGATGCATGCCATTGATGATTACAAAGTGTTAAAGTGAGTAAACCTTTGATAATTAGTATGCAGGGTGCAAACAGCAAAGTGGCAGCAGTTTGTAGGCAATTCCCTCTAGCTACTGTACGCCAAGAGCTCTTTCTTGCGTATTTGTAATGGTCTTCTACTAAATCATATACTGTGGTAAAGCGAGTTGACTTTAGTTCTGACAGCAGTACTGTAATTATCAGGTTCTACCTCTGGCTCTCTCTTACTCTCATTATATTTGATGAAACATCTGCTGTTATTACTGCACTTATGTTAACCTACCCTACCTACCTACTATGTTGTTATTATATTATATTATATTATATTATATTATATTATATTATAGGAAACCACTGCACACACGTTTGGGTGTGTGTGTGTGGGACAAGATATGCACTCACAGTAAGAGCAAGGAAATGAGAAACTAGCGCTACTGTACTGATGACTGATGTAACTCTAAATAGACTCACACGGAGCTCTAAACGAGACATGTGCAAAATAATTTGGTAAATAAGATAAAGCCACATTTCCATATATTTGTACACGCGCGCTAACTCATGAACCGGCTACGATTGCTGTATGAAGAACAAAAAACTCAATGTGGGGTAGCATACAAAACGGGGGCTCCGTGTTTCTTTCTCTACTGAATATACTGGCGTTATAATCGGACTATTACTTTATGTGTACAAGCAGCTGGTATAGATAAGTTCCCAAGTGACCAATGCTAAACAACAGCTCGTTCTGCTCATCGCAAACGTTCAGTGCTGCATCTCTTAGTTGGGACAAAGGATAGCAGATGGCCGGGAGGAAGGCGTGTAGGGGGTTTGACAGTCAGTTAGCTGGTTGCTGTCTAAGCTGCACTGACACACTAACAAGCAAAAGAATATGATAGTTGCGAGCATATTAGTGACACCCTACTCCTTTCCCAAACACACACACGTACGCACACTTTTATATCCAGCTAAACAGAAACCCCACTGGTACGGCTGCTAAATCCGTGCCTAGCTTGACCGTTCTGTGTCGCTGCAATGGAGCTCTAGAAACCAATGAACCAAAGGATTTAACTGTGCACTGCAAAGCTAAACATCATTACATAACAGATACCGTTAGCTATACCGTTACAACATGCTAGCTGGACATCTAACCTTGGAGATAAACGCACAATTCTCAAAGAAGCAACAGCAAATATAAATAGCTACGCAGGGGTTATAAAGATCAGCGACGTGTTTAACATTTATCAGCACTGTTACCGATGCAGCAAAGGTATTTGCAAAAGGAGTCTGCACAGCCCGGAGCGTCCCTGCCGTGATGCGGTGGAGTGAATTGACAGCTAACCTAGCTTGAAAATGCCACGGGGACAGGGCACAATGAAGGAGATCTATCATGGCGCATGCGCGCTATCGACTAGAAGCGAACAAAGAGGTATTATAAGAGCAAGAGATATATCAAAGACACTGTTAATGGGAGGCAATAAACGTTTATTAGAACACAGAGGCGGATATATCAACAACGTGCCTTATTCGTGGACGCTTAGTCTTGGGACATTAATGCAGCTTTCAGACTGTCAGTCATATTTACTGTATCTTACTGTAGATAGATACACTGTGTGTCCAGGAGACGTGGCAGAAAGGAAGCAAGGCCTTCCCTTCCACCTGGGAAGAGAAATGGAGCAGAGGTAGTTTTGAAGGAAGAGAAGGCATGAGGCATGAGTTTGAAGCTGGAAATTCAATTCAATTCAATTCAATTTTATTTATATAGCGCCAAATCACAACAAAAGTCGCCTCAATGCGCTTCATAGATACAGAGAAAAGCCCAACAATCATATGACCCCCTATGAGCAAGCACTTTGGCGACAGTGGGAAGGAAAAACTCCCTTTTAACAGGAAGAAACCTCCGGCAGAACCAGGCTCAGGGAGGGGCGGCCATCTGCTGCGACCGGTTGGGGTGAGAGAAGGAAGACAGGATAAAAGACATGCTGTGGAAGAGAGACAGAGATTAATAACAGATATGATTCAATGCAGAGAAGTCTATTAATACATAGTGAGTGAGAAAGGTGACTGGAAAGGAAAAACGCAATGCATCATGGGGATCCCCCGGCAGCCTACGTCTATTGCAGCATAACTAAGGGAGGATTCAGGGTCACCTGGTCCAGCCCTAACTATATGCTTTAGCAAAAAGGAAAGTTTTAAGCCTAATCTTAAAAGTAGAGATAGTGTCTGTCTCCCGAAATCAAAGGGGTGATGTAAAATGTTGTCAATCCATATATCCCAGAGGTTGGAAGAGAAAGAAGAGAAAGAGGAATTTAGTAAGTTAGACGAAATGGTTCAGAGTATCCCAAGGATAGATAGGTTGGTGACTGGAACAGACTTGGATGGAATGGAAATGTATGTGAACGGAAGACATGTGATGAGGATGGGTTGGGTAGGGCTGGTGTTAAAGAGAGAAATGCAGGGCAGATGGTAGTGGATTCTGGAAAAAGAATGAAAATAGCTGTGGTGAACACAAAGAGGTATAAGAGTGGAGAAATGACTTATCATTTCTTCCTTACTGGCAGCCCCATCTTCAATATCCTGTTGTTAAGTATGGAAGACAATGAATGTGGAAACATCAGTCGTCATACAGTTCTTGTGCTTTTGGACATATATTCTCATCATTTTCTTTTATGTGCTGTTATCTGAAATAAAACTGAATTACCCTGATATATCAGCTTGTAAAGAGATTGTGAGGAAAGAACCACTGGGAGTTTTGGTGTTGAAGAAATGGCAGTCGAAATTGAACTCATGTAATACCACTTTTTAATGGATTTTAAATGCTATTTCTATAGAACCCTTGTGCTTAAACTGAGCACTCAAAGCATATTTTCCTATAAGCCTCAGTCACCCAAGCAGACATCAGACATTCATTCAAGGATTTTTCTCTATACCTAAGCACTTTGTCTAATCTTCATGCTGTGGGATTATAATATTATTTTATGCCATGTTAGACCCCTAATTAAAGATTGTGAATTATTATGTAGTTTTAGTTTGCATTATTCTCCTGAATTAGAAGAAGGTGATAACTATTACATTTGTTAAACTGATTTGCATTACATTAGACTGCTGATTTATTGTGAATGTATGATATTGTTTTATGATGCATTATACTGCTGAGTTATAAGAAATACTGTTC